TTACAGAAATAGAGTTAATTTTGATTAGTTTCATGATGAAAACGACCTTGAAATTGAGCTCAAAGTAGCAGAAATGTTCGATTTTTACCAATGTTCAGAAGTAAGCAAATCACACCACACGTCTAATACACATCAGCTGGGGAATCTAATATTCTTTCACTAGTGCACTGTTATTATTTATACCATTTTTACAATAATGCATTAGTCTGCATAACAGTAAATTTTGTATTTTTTGTATGACTAAAAAATCAAAATAGAAAGCAATAGTAATATAATTGGGGGCCTAGAGACGTGACTGATGAACAGAGGATATGTTATTTTAGTGCCAAGAATGTCTACCTTGTTTATTCTGGACCTTATTTTGAAATTGGCATCTCTTTTAATTTGCGTGAAATTGGCCAAATTGCCAATTTGACCACTTTATTGGGTAGTTCAAATCGGTAAATGGGCGGTTTCTTGTACTCAACTGATATAAAAAATGGAGTTCTGAAGAAATAGCTACGAGTTTGGTCAACTGGAACAACGGAATTGGCCAAAAACAGCTCAGTCGGCGAAATCGCCAATGCGTATGTCGCCAAGACCACTGACTTTGCGGGAGCGTAATTCTGTGAGTTTTCAACCAAATTTCGTGCTTTTGGTATCATTACCATCAGGAAAAGACTCTATCATTTCATAAGAATTTTTTTTTTCCCCAAAAATTTTGCGACATACAATGACAGTTTCAGAAAGGGGCTTGCGACAGTCGAAGGGTTAAGCAAAATGCCTATATTAACGTTTTATACGACATTTAATGCACCGCAGTGATTATTATTATTATTATTATTATTATTATTATTATTATTATCATCATCATTATCATCATTATTTTTATTAATATGGCATCTTCAAGACTAATAAGACACTCTTAGTTGTTTTAATGATCCAACGTAGCCGAGGGGTTACAAGTGACTATACCTTCTGCCAGATCACTCACTACTGGGTCAAGGGAGGAGCCAGAGATGTGAGTAGGGAAATCAACAAAGTTTCTCATGTCAAATACTGCAAGAAGGTCATCAAAGTCCCTCTGTATAAAGTGTTGATTGAGGTCACCAACAATTATGATATGTTTACAGTTGTGTTGTAACAGAAGGGAGTCCATATTTTCCATTAGGAAGTTGATGGGGTCTGCATGTTGCCACTGAGGTCTGTACATTGCACATGCTAGTACAGAGGTACTAGTGTTTATGCAGAGCTTGAAGAACATCATTTGAAGATGAGTAGGGGTGGCAACATCAATGTGCTGGACATGAACACTTTTAGAGAAGCACACAGCAACAACACCTTGCCCTTGCCTGTCTCTTCTCATCATGAGGTGTAGCCAGCAATTCTTGCAAAATTTTCTGGAGTCCTGTTGTCCAAAAATGTTTCAACAACAGCTATCGTGTCGGGACGTCAAGTGTTCACAAAACTGTGTGAGCTCTCCAACATTAGTAATGAAACCTCTAATGTTGGCTGACAGGATGCTGATAGACTGGCTCCTCATGATGTGGTCAGCTTGAGGTGGTGGGAGTGTAAGGCATGTAGGTGCCTGCCCTTGAGAGAGGTAGGGTACTGAGGCAGCTGCAGGGATGTAGGTCTGTGGTCTTGTATAAGGCACAATACCACCTGCTGGGCTGAGATAGGAGTAGCTGAGTGGGTGACGTGTGAGTGTTCACCAATTCAGAGGTCCTGCTGGTTTGTTCCGAGAACAGGTCTCTAAACAGGTGGTCCTATCTGTCAAGTTTCTTTTTCTTCCGACGCTGGTCCTCCTGATGTCCTTTCTTGTAGCAGTAATTGCACCTGGTGTCTCGCAGGCAGTTGTTGGCGGTGTGCCCCTTCTGGTGACAGCAAGAGCACAGCCTAGGTGCCTGGGAGGGTGGACTAGGATTTGTTGCACCTCCTGTGTTTTGCTGATTTGTCCTCAGGTTCTGCTGCTGGGATTGTGTTGTGGAGGGTGAGACGGTTGTAGATGTCTTCCTCTCTCTCTCTCTCCTCTCTCTCTCTCCTCTCTCTCTCTCCTCTCTCTCTCTCCTCTCTCTCTCTCCTCTCTCTCTCTCCTCTCTCCCTCTCTCTCCCTCTCTCTCCTCTCTCTCCTCTCTCTCCTCTCTCTCCTCTCTCTCCTCTCTCCTCCTCTCTCTCTCTCTTCTCTCCTCTCTCTCCTCCTCTCTCTCTTCTCTCCTCTCTCTCCTCTCTCTCTCTCCTCTCTCTCTTTCCTCTCTCTCTCTCTCTCCTCTCTCTCTCTCTCTCTTCTCTCCCTCTCTCTCCTCTCTCTCCTCTCCTCTCTCTTCCTCTCTCTCCCCTCTCCTCCTCTCCTCTCTCCTCTCCTCCCTCTCTCTCCTCTCTTCTCTCCCCTCCTCTCCTCTCTCCTCTCTCTTCCTCCTCCTTTCCCTTTTCTTCTCCCTCCTCTCTCCTCTCTCGTCCTCTCTTCTCTCACTCTCCTCTTTTCCTCTCTCTCCCCTCTCTCTCTCCTCTCCTCTCTCCT